ATTAACTCTGCCATTTTTTGTTTCCTGTTTGTTTTCTCTGTTTTTTTGTTTGTTTCTCCGTTTTCATTTTTCTACCTTCCTGTGGGTTATTGGAACATTTTTTAGAATTCTGTTTTGATTTAGTTGTAGTGTGTGTGGTTTTTTTTTAGTGTATCACTTTTTATAGCTTTTTACTGATTACTCTAGGTATTATACTATATATACACAACTTATCAGTTTACTGATTGATATCAGTAACCGATATTTTTACCAGTTCAAATGAAGCATAGAAAATGTACCTCCCTTAGTGTCCTTTTGCCCTCCTTCATTTATAACATGTTTTAAATATTTCCTGTACATACACTTAGGACCACATTTAGAAAGTATTATAATGTTGGATTCAACCACCAAACATAATTTTGGAACCTCAAGAGAAAAAGAAAAGTCTGTTGTATTTACTCATATTTTTGTTTCCTGTGTTGTTTCTTCCTTCTTGATGTTCCAAGATTGCTTTTTAAATTGTTTCCTTTCTGTTTGGAGAACTTGCATTAGCAAATATTTTAAGGTAGGTATACTGGCAACAAATTCTTTTCCTGAAGGGTAGTTTCACTGGATATAGGATTTTGGGATGACAGTTGTTTTCTTTCAGCACTTAAAAAATATTGTGCAACTTCCTTCTAGCCTCCGTGATTTCTGATGAGGAATCTACTCTCATTCAAATCGTTACTGCCCTGTGGGTAAGGTGTCATTTCTCCTTCACTGCTTTAAAGATATTTTGTCCTTAGTTTGCAGAAATTTCACTATGATGCCTCTTGGTGTGGATTCCTTTGGGTGTATCCTGTTTGGGATTTGTTCGGCTTCTTGAATCTCTGGTTTATGCCTTTTGCCAATGTGCTTAGTTTCCAGATATTATTCCTTTGAGTACTTTTTTTAGCTCCACCCTCCTTCTGGCCTTCTTTTGGGACTCCAGTGACACAAAGGTTAGATCTTTTGGTATGGCCCCACAGGTTCCTGAGCCTCTGTTCATTTTTTATGGTCTATTTTCTCTTTCCTCTTCAGAATGGGTTATTTCTATTGTTTCATTTTCTGGTTCATTGATTTTTTGTTCCTTCCATTCTGCTGTGGAGCCCATTATCTTGAGTTTTTATTTCAGTTATTATATCTGGGTTTGTTTTTTTGTTTTTATTTATTTATTTATTTATTTTTTAGACAGAGTCTTGCTCTGTCACCCAGGCTAGAGTGCAGCGGGGCAATCTTGGCTCACTGCAACCTCCCCGCCTCCTGGGTTCAAGTGATTCTCCTGCCTCAGCCTCCCAAGTAGTTGGGGTAACAGGCATGCACCACCACGCCTGGCTAATTTTGTGTTTTTAGTAGAGACGCGGTTTCAGCATGTTGGCCAGGCTGGTCTCGAATTCCTGACCTCAGGTGATCCACCCATCTCGGCCTCTCAAAGTGCTGGGATTACAGGCGTGAACCACTACACCCGGCCCCATTATTGTATCTTTAATTTCTAAAATTTCCACAGGGATTTCTTTATATCTTTGATTTCTTTGCTGAGACTGTTTTTCATTTGTTTCAAATATGTTCATAATTGCTCATTAAAACATTTTGATGAGGTCTGTATATAAATATTTGTCAGATAATTCTAACAACTGTCATCTTGGTGTCAGCATCTCTTTGTCGTCTTTTTCATTCACTTCAATATTTTCCTGATTCTTGGTATGACCCAGATAATCCCTTCCTGGATGTGCCTGTACCCAAAAGGAACCTTTGCCGAAATGAATGAGGCAATATATTCAAGAATGCTTATAGCAGTATTGTTTATAGTAACAAAACTCTTATAACAACCAAAAAGTAAATCATTAGTAAAAAGAATTTAAAGTTCATAGTACTCCATTTACGTAATGGAATACTATGGAAGAGTTAAGTGAATGAACTGAATTAACATGTATAAATTCAATAGCATAATGATTAAAAAGAGCAAGCTCACAGAGGATCCATACTATATAAATTCATTTATATAATTTGCAAAGACAGATGAAACTAAATGGTAAATCATTTAGGAATACAAGCTTTTCTATTGCAACTATAAAGAAGAACAAACAGTTAAGTAAAAATTCAGAAAACTGGTTCTTTTTCATAGGGTTGAAAGATGTTATGATGGAGGCATAACATCTTGGCATCATTCTAATTCTTAAGCTGGGTAATGGGTAGATGAGTGACCATGTTATTAGTGTTTATTATTATTGTACATACATGTTGTACGCACTCTTTTGAATTTTGATAGATTTTAAAATAGAAAAAAGTAAAAACAAACAAACAGCAATTTCTGAGCTGGGCATGGTAGTATCTGCCTGCTACTCAAGAGCCAAGGCAAGAGTATCACTTGAGCTGAGAAGTTCAAAACTAGCCTGGGTAACATAGCAAGACCTGGTCACTTAAAAAAAAAATTATTTAATAAACATGAAGCAATTTCTCTGGGGTCAGGTTGCCTGGATTCAAATTCTACATCCACCTCTTATTAGCTAGGTGATTGTTGAAATCCTAACCCCCAACATGATGGTAGGAAGTAGGGCTTTGAGTGGTAATTAGGTTATGAAGAAGCAGCCCTGAATGAGATTAGTGCACTTATGAAAGTGATTCTAGAGAGCTGTCTTGCATTTTTTCTGCCATGTGAGGATACAAGGAGAAGTCAGTGCTCTGAAACCTGGAAGAGGACCCTCACAGAACTCAACCATGCTGGCACCCTGATTTTAGACTTCCAACCTCTAACACTGTAAAAAATTACTTTCTGTTATTTATAAGCCACTCAATCTATAGTATTTGTTACAGCAGCCCAAACTCATTAGGACAGTGACCTTGGGCAAATTGCTTTACCTCTGTGTGTTACAGTTTGTTCACCTTGAACATGTTGACACTAATTGTACCATTATTTTGAGGATTAAATGAGATATGTATAAAGTATTCAGAAAATAGCCAAGTACACCGAAAGTATGTAGTAGTAATAATAGTACATAATATATAATAATGTTTAATAACAAAGTTTGTAGAAACTTGAATATGCCACTAAGACTAAAATTTCATTAGAAATACTCAAAAATAAAGTGAGAGACTTCAGAACATAGAAGAAAAGCTAAAGATGTAAAATAAAAGAGAATATAAGAAACAGAGAAATAATTGAGAATATTCAATATCTGACAAGCATAAGTTTCAGAAGGAAATAACAAGATTAAACGTAGGGATACAACTATTAAGAAAATGATAGTAGAAATGGGCCAGGTACAGTGGCTCACACCTGTAATCCCAGCATTTTGGGAGGCTGATGCAGGTAGAACACTTAAGGCCAGGAGTTCAAGACCAGCCTAGCCAATATGGTGAAACCCCAACTCTATTTAAAAAAAAAAAAAAATCAAAAAAAAAATTAGCTGGATGTGGTGGTGTGCACCTATAGTCCTACCTACTCAGGAGGCTGAGTCGGGAAAATCGTTTGAACCCAGGAGGCAGAGGTTGCAGTGAGCAAGATTGCAGATTGCACCACTGCACTCCAGCCTGGGCGACAAAGTGAGATCTGTCTCAAAATAATAATAATAATAATAATAATAATAGAAATGAAGTAATCCCAGAGATAAAAAGGTATAAATTGTTAGAATACACAAGTACATTGAGTGTTCAGCAAAATGAATGAAAAAATTATAATACTATTATGAAATTCAAGACATTTAAAAAGAAGAGAGAAAATTCTGAGGGAAGGAGACACAAAAAATTCTTTTCTCTACAGAAATATGGAGAGAGAGAGAGAGAGAGAGAGATGGGGGTATAAAAAATCAAGAATCACACTGGCATAAAATTTTTAATCAAAAATTATGAATCAATAATCAATATATTAATGATTTTAAATTTCCAAGCAATAATTCTGTATCTGACAAAATAATCAATTAAATATGAAGGAAAACTAAATGCATTTTCAGACTGGCAGCGATGCAGAAAGTTGTTTTTTTGTGAACCCTCCCTTAGGAAGACATTTCAGGATATATTGTAGCAAAGAGAGGGAATAAAAAGGGAGACAAGTGATCTGACTCAACCAGGAGAGGTATGAAGACAAGATGACAGTTTTGTACAGACTTAGAGATCATTTAGTCCAGATGGAAGCAGAAAGCTAGAGGGCTTCAGGTTAGGAAATGTGGTAAAGTGAATTATTGATTGAGATTTTGAAAATATGGTAAAGCCAACTAATGAAGTCTAAAATGATGAATCTATTTGGTCTTGATTTTAGGAACATACTGTTTTCAATGGTACAGGAAGCACAACATTGGATCCAAAGAGCAGGAAAGATAGTCCCTATCACTAAAAAATAAAGTGAGAGACATCAGGACATAGAAGAAAAGCTAAAAATGTAAAATAAAGGAAATATAAGGAACAGAAAAATAACTAAGAATATTCAATATCTTTTTTTGTTTGTTTTTTAAATTTTTCATTAAGAATATTTAATAATGGACAAGCACAAATCTCAGATGGGAATAACAAGATTAAACTTAGGGATACACTATTAAGAAAATAATAGTAGAAATGAAGTAATCTCAGATCTAAGATTACTTATATCCCTAAGTAATCCCAGACTACTTAGAGGCTTCAGTAAGTAATATGGCTCAGCAATGAACAATATTTTGAGAAGATAATCAGCCCAACAACCTGGAACTGTTCTGACACTTATAGGTCGGTCATAATCTTCTCCTATTGAATGCAAACAATTTCATACAACACCAAGACCAGAAAATAACCTTGTAACCCTGATGGAGCAAGACTTCATGCTTGAGGAGACAATGTCTAAAACAAAAAAGAAAAAACAAAAGAGCTCTTTTTCCTTGCTAGTATGAGCGAATGCTGCTTATTTACCAATTACAGATTTAATTTCAGTGTTTTTCCCACTTCCTAAGTGAAATTCATTAAAATAATATAGAATTACCCCAATTTTCTGAAAGCATCCAATCCAGAGCTAACCTGTACTTGTTGAATCTCTGCTAAAAACACCTAACAGAAGACCAAATCCTATAACTCCTTTGTAAGACTCTGTTACTAAAGTGGCCCCTGTTTCCTACTGTGAACAGTCTCCTTCATTGCAACAAGTCAATAAACCCAACTTTGTTCTGATACGGTGTGTTCTTGGTAATTTGGGACTGCAGGGCATTCATAATTTATATAGTCATGAAAAGTAAATTTTAAATATTATCTTCATGTTCTAAAATATATCTATAGACAAGACAAGTAATTCTTAGCTATGGTTGTAAAAATGTAAAATGTAAAAGTAGAAGTTAACTGAGAGAGGTTGGAAAGTGTAAGAGAGAAACAGATATAAAAGGAAGAATAAGAATGATATTCCTTTTTTTTTTTTTTTTTTTTTTTTTTTTTGAGACGGAGTCTCGCCCTGTGCCCCAGGCTGGAGTGCAGTGGGGCGATCTCGGCTCACTGCAAGCTCCAGCTCCCGGGTTCACACCATTCTCCTGCCTCAGCCTCCCAAGTAGCTGGGACTACAGGTGCCCGGCTAATTTTTTGTATTTTTAGTAGAGACGGGGTTTCACTGTGTTACCCAGGATGGTCTCGATCTCCTGACCTTGTGATCCGCCCGCCTCGGCCTCCCAAAGTGCTGGGATTACAGGTGTGAGCCACCGTGCCCAGCCAAGAATGATATTCTTTTTTTCCATACAAAAATCTAATGAAACTGTTATTACTGGAACAATAAAGAGAGGTTTCAGTTTGACCAGAGAAGTACCCAAAAATGGTAATATAGCTTTATCTGAAAAACAAAAGATTGAAGTTGTTTTAAGTGTGCTAGTTACTCAGCAATCTTAATAGGAAATTGTCTAAAGTTTGTGAAAGTTACTATATTAGTTTGCGAGGGGTACTGTAACAAATACCACAGACTGGGTGGCTTAAACAACAGACATTTCTTTCCTCACAGTTCTGGAATCTAGAAGTCCAAGATCAAAGTGTTGGCAGGGTTGGTTTCATTTGGAGGCCTCTCTCTTTGGCTTGTAGATGGCTATCTTCTTCTAGTGTCTTCACATAAGCATCCCTCTGTGTGTTCACATGTCTGGCATCTCTTTATGTTCTAATCTCCTCGTCTTATAAGTACAGCAGTTATATCGGATTAAGATCTGCCCTGATGACCCATTTTAATGTGATTACCTCTTTTTTTAAAGGCCTATCTTTAAATATAGTCACATTCTGAGGTAGTGGGAGTTAGGGTTTCAACGTATGAATTTGAGGGGGATTTGGGAACACAGTTCAGCTCATAATGGTTACAAACATATTCCTGAGTGATAAGAAAGTAAATATAAGAAGAGTTCTAAAAAAATGTATAAAGTGCTTGCCAATGGGATAAAATGAAAAAACAGACAATACTAGTTTGTTGGCAGAAATGTGGAAAAATTTGTACATCCAGATACTGGGGATAGCAGTGTAAATTAGTACAACCACTGGAAGACTATTGGGAAATGTCTACTAAAAGTAAACATGTACTTACAAGATGGGCAACAATTCCACTTCTAGGCATATACCCAACAAAACTGCATATACAGGTTGCCAAAAGGCATGTTAAAATAATGGTTATAGCAGTATAATTTGTAACAGCCAAACTTTGCCCTATCCCAAATACTGATCTAAAGGATAGAAAATAAATTGTAGTATATTCATATAGTGGAATATTATACAGCAATGAGAATGAAAGGACTAAACTTAAAAGCTGTATTATGGATAAATTTCATAAACATAATGCTGAGTGAAAAAAGCCAGACACGAGCAGTTCATACTCTATTACTCTGTTTATATAAATTATAGTATAGGAAGTCAGCATATTTGCCATACTTGGGCTAGCAGTGATTGTAAGGAGTAATTTGTGTGGCACCTGGGGTGCCAGTGATGTTTCATTTCCTCTTCAAGTTGCTGGTACTAAATATGTTACTTTGTGAATATATATTGAGTTGAACATAAAGGATTTGTTCACTTTTCTTCATGTAAGTAATAATTCAATTACACTGTTTTTTAAAAGTTTGCTAATAGGAATCAGGGCTGCAAAAAAGAGTAAATAGAAGATTGCTGCCTTTTACATATTTTTTCACATATTTATTAGCATATGTATGTATTTGTCTTTGTTTTAAACAATTAAAATACAATGATTTGAAACATTTTTAATTTTTGCATTTTAGCATCAAATATATAATACTTAAGAGTGTCATGAAATAGAATGGATAGAATATATAGAAAATAAAATTAATATTTGATTTTATTAAGATGGTTTATCACAACAAGTACCAACAAGAAGAGAAAAATATCTCAGGAAAATCAACAGCATGCATGGATTTGAAATGACCCTATGTAAATAAATGCAATGAAATAAAATTGAGTTTTCAATACTTGAGACAGAATAAAGTTCAGCAGACAAATCCATTAAAAAGGGAAATAAAAGCTAAATCTCAAGGTGAAATTTTTGTCCATGACACTCTCGAATTCTAGATCTGAAAAAGTTTGGGATAAATGGCAGAAAACAATGTGTCATAACGAGATCTCTAATTTAATCCAAAGTTATTCCGGAAGGCGGCAGTTTTCCCTATTTCTTCACCAGTGCCCTGGGGCAAAAGGTTAGGAATAATAGGCTTCAGGAACTTGAACTCGCCGGTCCCTGGGTCTCCAGTCAGACACACCTCGTACTGGTAGCTCTGGGACAGGGTCCCGGTGCCGCTTACGTCCACCAGATGTCCTGGAAAGGGGCCCTCGGGCACCGAGCAGCGACCCACTAAGGCCTCCCTGCTCCTCCTGCACAGCCGCACCGCCACGAACAGGAGCACTGACAAAAGGAAGAGCGACGACACCGAGGCCAATGCCACCACCAGGTAGACGGTGAGCCAGTCGGCCTCGGCCTGGGCCAGGGCCGCCTCCGGGAGCGGCAGGTAGGGCTGGGAGAAGCCATCCACCAGGAGCACGTGCAGCGTGGCAGTGGCCGAGCGCGGAGGCTCGCCATTGTCCTTGACCAGCACCACCAGCCTGTGCTTGGCCGCGTCGCGCTCGCTCAGCAGCCTGGAGGTGCGCACCTCGCCATTGTGCGCCCACACACCGAACAGCCCGGGCTCCGTGGCCTTGAGCAGCTGGTACGACAGCCAGGCGTTCTGGCCCGAGTCGCCGTCCACCGCCACCACCTTGGTCACCAGGTAGCCCGGCTCGGCCGCCCGGGGCACCAGCTCGGTGCAGGGCGCGGAGCCGTTTTGCAGCGGGTACAGCACGAAGGGCGAGTTGTCGTTGGCGTCCAACACCAGCACGCGCACCAGCGCCTCGCTGCTCAGCTCCGGGGAGCCGCGGTCTGTGGCGCCCACGCGGAACTCGAACTCCTGCAGGGCCTCGTAGTCCAGCGACCTGAGGGCGAACAGGTGGCCGTTGTCTGCGTTGATGGAGACCAGGGAGACGAGGGGCAGGTGAGGGTCCTGGGGCGGCAGCAGCGAGTAGGTGACCAGGGCGTTGGTGCCTGAGTCTCTGTCTGTGGCGCTGACGCTGCCGATGTGCAGGGCGGGGCTGTTGTTCTCGCGGACGAACAGGGTGTAGGAGGTTTGGGTGAAGGCGGGGGCGTTGTCATTGACGTCGGAAACCAGCACGGTTATGTTGTGCTGGATTTTCAGCCTGGGTGTCCCCAAGTCGGTGACGGTGATAGTGATGTTGTACTCGGCTTGGCTTTCTCTGTCCAGTGTTCTCAGTGTCACTAGGGTGTAAAAGTTTTTTAATGTGGGCTTCAAAAGAAAGGGGAGGTCATTCTGAATGGAACAAATCATCCTACCGTTGTCCCCGGAGTCTGGATCAGAAACACTGAAAACAGCAACTATAGTTTCTGGGGCATTTTCTGGGGTAGGGCTGGAGAGCGTCGACATGGTGAGTTCAGGGGCGTTGTCATTCACATCCACCACTTCTATAGCCACAGTGCATTTTCCTGAAAGGCCCCCACCATCTGTGGCTACAATTTCCACGTTATAATATGGAGTTGCCTCGAAATCCAATGCCCTTTTCAGGCGAATTTCTCCTGTTTTCTCGTCTATTACAAATGGTTGAGTAACTTCATCGCCTTGGAATAGAGCATAGGCTACACTTCCGTACGCTCCTGCATCTAAATCTCGGGCGGAGACAGCGACAACTAAGGAGTTAAGGGGGCTGTTCTCGGGCACCTGTACCTCATAGAGTGATTGCAAAAATTCAGGGGCGTTGTCATTATTGTCCAAGACGACAATGCGAACTGTGGTGGTCCCAGACCTGGGCGGAGCACCACCATCCAGTGCAGTGAGTGTTAAGCTGAGCTCAGGGCGCTCCTCCCGGTCCAGAGCTTTGTCCAGCACCAGCTCTGGGTATTTTCTGCCATCTCCGCGATTGTGAGTAGCAACATGAAAGTGGGAATTTGTGCTGATTGTGTAGTTCTGAACAGTGTTGCTACCTATGTCAAAGTCCTGGGCTATTTTTAAAGGAAACACAGTCCCTGGCTGGGTGCTTTCTGGGATTTTTAGGAGCATTTCCCTCTCTGGGAACTCTGGGGAATGGTCATTTATATCTGTGAGCTGCAGATCAGTTTGAAAAAACTGCACTGGGTTTTCTAGTAAGAGTTGGAAATGCAATATACAGGGTTCTGTCGTCCCGCACATCACCTCCCTGTCTAGTTTTTCATATAGAAGCAAATTGCCGGTCTTTATATCAAGCTGCAAGAGCTCTTTGTCTCCTTTGTAATGGATTCGCGCGCTCCGAGTGGCCAGTTCCCCCACCCTAAGACCAAGGTCTTTTGCCAGGTTGGCCACAGAATAGCCACTTTCTGTTTCTTCTGGTATGGAATACCTAACTGCCTCAGAGCCAGCCTCCCACAAAAGCAACAGTATAGCAAGAAACATAACTTGCCTTTTCTGTGGCGTTTTTGCTAGCGCAGTCTCCATTGTTCAGACCCGGTCCAGAAGGCGCAGTTTCTTTAACTCTGTATACAATCCACCCAGATGATTTGCTTAAATAACCTCGAATCCGATCTTTCTTAACTGATTTCCACAAGAACGACGCACATTCTGAAGATCTAGCCACTAGATCTTACCTAAAATGCGTCCTTCTTTTAGGAAGCATTCAGGCTTTGGATTTCTCAGCTTAATGGCGCCTGAGTTATCCGCAGAGCCCACTATCCACACTCTTAGCCTGCAGCGCCACCAGGCGTCCTAATTTACTATTGCATATAGTATTTGCCATTTCATCCTAAATTCTAACCCTGACGTGTATCCATACCCTTTTGTCCCATAAGCTCTCCCGGTGGTATCTCCAGCTCTTAGTTACTGAAAGTTCTAAATAAACGTTGTGGAGTTAATTTTCAGTGAGAGAATACTTTTGAGAAAAAACTAAAATTATATATTAATCTCCATAAAAGTACCCTTGAGTACACAAATATACTTTATTTGGTGTTTCTTATTTGATTATATTAAATAAGTGATCATGAATAGCTATAGAGATTTAAAGTTTAAGAAAAATTACTTTCACTTTGAAGTAAACACCAATAACACCCAGAAAATGGCACAAATCATAGGTGTACAACTCAATGAATTTCGCAAAGTGAACGCACTCCTATAAGTAGAACCTAGATTAAAAATACCACCCAAACCCAAGTCCCCACCTGCTATTGTCTGGTTACTGCCCTCTCCCCAAAAGATAAGCACTGTCCTGACTTCTGTTGTCATAGGTTTTTTTTTTTTTTTTAACTTTATACCAATGGAGTTATATAGATTGTTACTCTCATGTGTCTGGCTTCTTCTCCTCAATATTATGTTTGTCAAATTGATCTGTGGCATCTTGTTCTTATTTGTTTTATTCTCATTGCTTTTTATTATTCTGTTGTATGAATATACTATGATTTGTTTATTCATTTTCCAGTTTATGAACGTTGTTTTTTTTTCCAGGTTTAAACTATTTTGGGTAGTACTGGTATAAACATCCTTGTACTAGTCTTTTGGTGACCACATGTATGTGTTTATGTTGAATATTTTCAAAGGAGTTGGATTGCTGTGCATTAAGGTGTGCACATATATGTTGCTTTAGCAGATAATGGGAAAGTTTTCTCAAGTAGTTGTACTAATACCAGCAAAGTATGAGAGTTCCAGTTGCTCCACATTCTTGTCAACATTTGATGCTATCTTTTCCATTTTAAACCACTCTAGTTAGTGTTTGGTGATCTCATATTGTAATTTTAGTTAGCATTTTCCCCAGTGATTAAACAATTTGAGCACATTTTCCTGTTTATCGGCCATTAGGATACAATCCTGTGAAGGGCTTACACAAACCTTTTTACTTTTTTGGGGGGAGGCATTTGCCTGTTTGCTTATTGATCTGCAGAAGTTTCTCATATATTCTGGGTATAAGTCCTTTTTCAGATATATGTATTGCAAATATCTTTTCCCACTCTATGGTTTATATTTCAAGTCTATTATGTGTCTTTGATGAATACAATTTCTTCACTTTAGTCAGATTTGTCAATAATTTTCATTTACAATTAGCATTTTTTGTGTTCTATTTAAATGTTCACATACTCCAAGGTCATGAAAATATTCTTATATGATGTATTTTGAAAGATTAATTATTCCACTTTTCACATTTAGAGCTATAATCAACCTGAAATTAACTTTTCAAGTGAATGAGGTTGGAGTCAAAAGTTTTAAAATATAAGTATCTGAATGCCTTAAACCTTTGCACCATCTATTTAAAAAACAATCCATTTTCCATTGTTTTTGAAATGTCGTCTTTGTTATAAATTAGGTAACCATAGCTCTGAAGATGTTTTATTCAATCTTGTTTATCCTATAATAACTCATTGTGTTAATTATTATGGCTTTATCATGAGTTTTGTTATCTAAGAAGTAAGTTATCCAGTTTTTTAAAAGTAGACTTTAATTTTTAGAATGGTTTCAGGTTCACAGCAAAAATGAGAGTAAAGTACAGAGATTTCATACATACCCCTGTCCCCACACAAGCACAGCCTCACCCATTATCAACATCCTCCACCAGAGTGGTTCATTTGCTGCAGCTGATGAATCTACATTGGCATGTCATTATAACCTGGAGTCCATAGTTTACATTAGGGCTCACTCTTGGTGCTGTATATTCTATGGCTTTGGACAAATTAAAAATGATGTGTATTCACCTTTATAGTGTCATACAAAGTAGTTTCACTGCCCTAAAAATCCCCTGTGCTACACTTATTTATACCTCCCTCCCTCCCCTAGAACCCAATGTAAATGGATTTTCTTACTGTCTCCACAGTGCTGCTTTTCCTAGAGCACCATGTAGTTGAAATCATACAGTATGTAGTCTTTTCAGACTGGCTTCTTTCACTTAGTAATATCCATTTAGATTTCCTCAATGTCTTTTCATGGGTTGGTAGCTCATTTCTTTTTGATGCTGAATAGTATTCTACAGGTTGAATGAACTGCAGTTTGTTTATCCATTCACCTACTAACCGACATCTTGGTTGCCTCCGAGTTTTGGCAATTATGAATGAAACTGCTATAAATATCCATGTGCAGGTTTTTGTGTGAACATAAATTTTCAACTCCTTTGGGAAAATACTAAGGAACATGAGTGCTGGATAACATGGTAAGAGTATATTTTGTTTTGTATCAAGCTACCAAACTGTCTTCCAAAGTGTCTGTACCATTTTGCATTCCCACCAGCAATGAAAGAGAGCTCCTGTTGCTCTCATTACCAGCATTTGGCACTGTTAGTATCCTGGAGTTTGGTCTTTCTAATAGGTGTGTAGTCGTATTTCACTGTTATTTTAATTTAGATTTCCCTGTTAATATATGAAATGGAGAATCTTTTCATTTGTTTATTTGCCACCTGTATATCTTCTTTGGTGAGGTGTCTGTTAAGGTCTTTGGCTCATTTTTAAATTGGGTTCTTGTTGCTGAGTTTCAGTCATTCTTTGCGTATTTTGAATAACAGTCCTTTATCAGATATGTCTTTTGCAAATATTTTCTCCTAGTTTATGTCTTGTCTTTTCATTCTCTTCATAGTATCTTTTGCAGAGCAGAAAGTTTTAATTTTAATGAAGTCCAGCTTATTAACTCTTTCTTCTATGGATCATGACTTTGGTGTAGTATCTCTAGTTTGGTTCCTTTTCGTCAAGGTTCCTTTGGTTATTACTGTTTTTGTATTTTCAAATAAACTTAACATTCAGCTCATTAATTTTCACAAAGAAAGCTGCTGAAATTTTGTTTAAGATTTTACTGAATCTATAGAATGACTAAGGGAAAGCTGACATATTCCCAACACTGAGTCTTCCAACTAGTGAACATTGTATACTCCCGTAATTATTTAGATCTTCTTTAAGCTTTCTCAATATTTTAGTTTTCAATGTAGAAGTCTTATAAATATTCAACGAGATTTGTTTATAAATAGCTGCTATTTTTGAAATTATTGTGCATAATATTTAAATTTTTCACTTTTTTGTTGCTATATAGAAATAGAACTCATGTTTGTATGTTGACCTTGTATCCAGTGGCATTGTTAACTTCATTTGTTAATTCTAGTAGCCTGTAGATTCTTCATGGCTTTCAATGTATACAATCATGTCTACTTAAAAAGACATTTTTATTTTTTCCCCTCGAATCAGAGTGCCTTTTATTCCTTCTTTGCTTTATTCCGCTGTTTAGGACCTGTGATAGAATACTAAATTGGAGAAGAAAAGACAGGTATCCTTGTTTCATTCTTGATCTCCAGGGGAAAGTTTTTGAAAATTTGTCATTAATGATGTTTCCTGTAGGTTTTTAAAGTCACTCTGAAAGTTCCCTTTGATTTTAGTTTGCTAATAATTTTACCACTACTGTGTGTTGAATTTTGTTACATGATTTTTTCCTGTATCTGTTGAAATAATCATGTTTTTTTTAAATCTTTTAATATGGTAAATTACAATGATCAATTTTCAAATATTAAACTGTCTCTGTATTCCTAAAATAAACTCCATTTTCCAATTATTATTTCTCTTTTATACATTTTAAATTTTTATTTGCTAATATTTTTAAAAATGAATTTTCCATATATGTTTATAAAAAAGAACAGTTGGTAATTTTTGTTTCTTATAATATCCTATTCAGGTTTGAATGTTATAACCTGTTCAGATTTATGCTGGCACCCAAATGATTTGGAAAATGTTGTCTATTTTTCTACTCTCTGATGGAGTTTGTACAAATTAGTGATAATTTTGACATAAGTATTTGGGAGAATTCACTTCTGTGAATTAGAGTGGGAAGGTTTTTAATGAACAACTTTCATTAATATAATAGATATGACTAATCAGATCTTAATTTTGTCCTGTTTTTAAAGGATGGTTTCTGTTTTACATAAATTGTCAAGTTTGTTGGCATAAAATTGTTCATAATATTTCCTTTTTATATTTTAAATGTCTGTAGGTTGGTAGTTTTTTTGTTTGTTTGTTTTGTTTTGTTTTGTTTTTGAGACGGAGTCTCGCTCTGTCGCCCAGGCTGGAGGGCAGTGGCGCGATCTCCGCTCACTGCAAGCTCTGCCTCCCGGGTTCACGCCATTCTCCTGCCTCAGCCTCCCGAGTAGCTGGGACTACAGGCGCCCACCATCACGCCGGGCTAATTTTTTGTATTTTTAGTAGAGACGGGGTTTCACCATGTTGACCAGGCTGGTTTCAAATTCCTGACGTCGTGATCCGCCCGTCTCTGCCTCCTGAACTGCTGGGATTACAGGTGTGAGCCACTGTGCCCGGCCTCAATTCTTTTTTAAATATTTGAGGCTTCATTCATGACAAAGAACATGAACAATTTTTATATATCCCACAAGCATGTAAGAAGAATGTGTATGCTCCAGTGTGCTATGTATGTCAATTTATTTGAATATGATGTTCGTGTGGTTCGGATCTTCAATATTTTTTGTATGTGTGTGTTTTTTCTTCTTATTCTAATAGGAATTGAGAGAGTTGTATTAAATCTCCCAGTGTAACTGGGTTTGTCTACTTTGTATTCTGTCAACTTTATATATTTTGTAGTTATCTAATTGGGATGTATTCAGGCTTAAAACTAACATATTTCTGGTATATTTACCTCTAAAACTTCTCTTTATCTCTAGTAATGTATCTTTCCTTAAAGTCTCTTTTCTCTTACATAAGTATACCTACCTAGATTTATTTTGGTTAGTGTTTATATAACTATATACCTTATCCAATTCTTTAAATCTTCATTCTTTCTGTTTTCACACACACACACTTATTTGATAGCACAGAGTTGAGTTTTTCTTTAGTCTGACAATTTTTGTTGTTTAATTGGATTATTTAATCCAAATAAAATTAATATAATATCTGATCTCTTTCCATTCATACTTCCATCTAATTATT